TCCCTAGCTGAGGTCCAAAATCCAAACTATAAGTTTTTTAAATAGCTCAATTTGCCAGTCACAGAAATAACTTTTCTAGGTCAATTAGCACATTTCAATGTGCCAGTTAGCAAAGAGTAAGTTTCTCAAGCCTATTTGCCTTGGTGAAAGCAAAGTTTTCCAAGAGGCACACATGGGGACGAGGTGCACCTTGAGAACATTAAGATAACGACTGTGAAAGCTGGGGAGCTGCCCCAGTAATGAAAATATCATTACTAACCCCTTCCGCTCGGTCTCAGAGTTAGGGACATCCAAGAGAACCATCTGACAGTACAGGAGCCGAGCAAACGGGCAAGAATGGGAAAGGAGGGGGGAAAGAACTACCATGAGAGATCAACAGGGTTGCACAATAATGGGCAATTTTGATAATGAGATAATAATAAACACAAGGCTTTGGGCCTTGAAGAAGAAAGGAGTTTGATGAAAAGAATCATTACCATTCTTCTTATTATTATTCTCATAGAAGACAGATGGCTGCAACCACAAATATAGGCCGGGCTAGAGTCTTCAGTCTGGGAAGGGGGCTGATATGGTGTTTTAAGTTTGTTTTCTGTCTCCACTCTCCCTTGCTCAGAACACTCTGCATTCAGAAGGAACTCTCATTGGCATTTGAAGAGAAAAGGTACAGGGCTGGGGATGCAGCTTATGCCCAGGGCCTCAGTCTTGAGGACCAGATCAACCTGGCAAGGTAAGAGATGGAACTGAAAATCTAATATGTAACCCAGGTTCCATGGGCAACCTACTTAGCTCCCACCTCTTGGCTTTTACTTTCCAGAAAGTGTTTTGGCCTGGAAGAGATATATTTTGCTAAGTCACAGGCAATGGATAAGGAACCCAGCCTCACCACCAGCCCCAAAGCCAATGGCTATAACAAGGAGCTCATAAACTAGGCAGCATATCGATTCATCAAGCCATGGGCTACTGTCAGCTTGGGTGAGGGACCTTAACATGGGCTCCACGGATGGGCTAGGGGTCAGTGGTGGCGGGGGGGGGGAGTGGAGACAGCAGGTGACAGTCTCCTGGAATTATCTGCAAAATTGTGTTTGTGCATTTATCTGGGAAGAGACTCTACAGTCTTCTTCAGCTTCTCAAAGAAACCTATGACCCAACTCTTTTAGATGGACAGAAGCTAAGAAGCATCTCCAGCATCTGGATTCACCAGCTTTCAAACTCGCCCTGAACGCCAGTCATAGAATAGGAAAAGAGCTCTGAAGTCTGAGTCAGGAGAGCTGGATTTTAGGGGCACCCACCTTGGCTTCTAAGGACCCCATCTAGAAGATGAGATGAGATCAGACAAGCTTTTAGCTCCCTGCTAATCTAATAATCAATAGTTCCATGATGCATTTTCTCTCCTTCCCTCCAAGGAGCAAAAGCAAAATCGCCCTTAAGACACTTCATCTGAAGCCGGAAACAGACCTTCTCCATAATCCTGGCAGCAAAGACCATTTCCTTGTAATATGAGCCACTGAAATACATGTTCCTTCCTCCAAGGTATCAGCTGCTAGGATAGAGAGCCAGGAGAAACTGGGACCCGGGCATTCCCTAGCTGGTCTGCAAATCCCAGGGCCAGTAAGTCACAGGACAGAGCACAGCAAATGGAAATGCACTGATGACCCCAAATCCTTTAGCTGACAGTGGCAATTTCCTGAAACTCCCTCCTTCTCTGTCCTTGTACATGTGAGTATACGTGTGACTGTGTTACTGACATACACACCAGCTCATTTTTTTCCTTGCTTCCATATTACTACTCAGAAAAACAACAAAAGAAGATTAAAAATATAAAGGGTCGAGAAGAAAGAGCACAGAGAAGTCAAAAGCTAAGTTCCAACCTAATTGGATCATCAGGCTTAAGATAGAGTTGCCTGTCTTCCTGTGTCTTGTTGTTGTTTTTTTTATAAAAAGATTTTATTTATTTATTTGACAGAGAGAGACACAGCGAGACAGGGAACACAATCAGGGGGAGTGGGAGAGGGAGAAGCAGGCTTCCCGCCAAGCAGGGAGCCCGATGCGGGGCTCAATCCCACGACCCTGGGATCATGACCCAAGCCAAAGGCAGCCGCCCAACGACTGAGCCACCCAGGCACCCCTTCCTGTGTCTTGTTTTAAGTCAGTCTGAGCTCAACTAAGGGGTTGCAAAGCAAAAAGTCCTAATGCCAGAGGTAGCCCAGGAGGGGTCCCAACCATTTAAAATAAGCAAGCCAAACCCAGTTGACAAGACACATGCAAATGGAGCCATCACCCTGAGCTTGTCTCAGCTTCATTTTAGAAAAAAGGGCACCAAGATTATTTACCAGACTGATTGGAATCACTCATTAAGCTCATCAAAGAAGTTTCAGTGTTAAGGAAAGTTTCTTGAACATTCCTGATGAGCTGGCTGGCTACAACTTGATATGAATTCAGAAAGTATTAGGTGTTATAGCAACTATAATAGCAAATCTGCCGTGAGAAAGGGGAAGAAGGGGAGAGGAAGAAAGAGAAGGAAAGAAGGGAGGGAGGGAGGGAGAGAGGGGAGGAGAGAGAAACATTGTTTTTTGTACAGAGTAGAAAGCTGTTAGGGGCTGAATTATGTCCCCACCAAAATTCTTATGTTGAAGGCCTGATCTCAGAATGTGACTATATTTGGAAATACCTCCTTTAAAGAACTAAGTTAAAAGGAGGCCATTAGGTGGGCCCTAATCCAATCTGACCAATGTCCTTACAAGAGGAAATTTGGACACACAGAGAGGCACTAGGGATGTGCATGCAGAGAGAAAAGACCATGTGAAAAGGCATCAAGATGGCGGCCATCCGCAAGCCAAGGAGAGAGGCTTCAGAGAAAACCAACCCTGCCGGCACTTTGATCTTGGGGATAATTATCAGTGCCTTGCCTCAGAAGTTTATTGTGAGGATCAAATACATTAGCCCACATAGAGCACTTAGAACAGTACCGGGCGCACAGTAAATACTCCGGAAGTGTCAGCAGGCCTAGTGCAGAAATGCTGCTGTGGTGTATTTATTCATACGCTTATTCATACGCTTGTAGATAGACTGTCGGACCTCCTGGGAGGTGGGGGGAATGCCAGGGTGGGAGAGGGCAGGCAATATTGTCCCGGTCACAAGAGGCCGGGCACACTCGGTTCAGGGGTTCTGCCGGGGCCTCAAATTCTGCCTTTCTAACAGGCAGCACCCTCGTGATGCTGGTCCTCAGACCTCACCTGGAGTCCCACACTTGGAGTAATTTGGAATTACGATCACCCAGGATGCTGATTCTCCAAGAGGGGTCCGAGGACCCCAGCAGTCGACATTACTTAGGGACTTATTACCAATGCTCATTTCCTGGTGTCATCCCAGATCCTCTTTTTTTTTTTTTTTAAGATTTTATTTCTTTATTTGAGACAGAGAGAATGAGAGACAGAGAGCATGAGAGGGAGGAGGGTCAGAGGGAGAAGCAGACTCCCTGCCGAGCAGGGAGCCCGATGCGGGACTCGATCCCAGGACTCCAGGATCATGACCTGAGCCGAAGGCAGTCGCCCAACCAACTGAGCCACCCAGGCGCCCCTCATCCCAGATCCTCTTAATCTGACCTTCTGGGGATGAGGTCCAGCAAGCCTTATTTCTTAGCCATTTCCTTGGGTGAACTGCTATGGACAGACATTAAGTCAGAGCCACTGCACAAAATCGGTGGTCCTCAATTGCAGCTCCACATTAGAAACACTTTTTAAAAACACTATGCCCACCTAGGCTGTGTCACAGATCAAGAGTTCAGACACTCCAAGGGAGGGGCCAGGGTGTCAGTCATTTTGGTTGGTTGGTTTTCCATTGTTGTTGTTCATCATTTTCTGTTTTGTTTTGTTTTGTTTTTTTAAGTACCTCTAGGTGAGGCTGGAGCAAAATTTTAAGCCTGGGTTCAAAATCACTGCTTTAGATGAATGCATTTTCTTTTAATTTCTATTGATGTACAATAGGCACCGAGAAACATATAATGATCATAGGGGTATACATGAGTACTTGTGGGGAGGGTGTGACTAAATCCTTGGAGAGAGTGAAGTATTGCTGCACGTATAGGATCTAGAGGCTTCTCCATTCCTAACTCTGCCACTTGGACCTCGTGTGACTCCCTGAACGTCAGTGTCTTCCTCTGTAACGAGAGGCCATAATGCTTGCCCTTATCTACGTCACACAGCTGTCATGTGAAAAGACCTTGTAAACTATAAAATGCTATCCAAAGAGGAAGGATTATCATTTTGAGATTTAAACTATGATCTTGAATGCATGAGGCAAATTTAAGTCATGAAAATAGAAAGCAGTAGGAAGGATTTTACAGGTGATTTCTTTTCCTGTGCTTTCTAACATGGCCGGCTAATCCCTCCACAGTGCCACATGAGGGAGTCTGAGGACAGGGCCCTGCCACCTCAGCCCTATAGCTCCTTCTTCTCTCTATGCTCGTTTAACACCCAGCCCCCTGCTACAGTGGGAGTCTACTGGCTAGCCACTGGGTATGGGGTGGCTCAGACCGCCCTATGGGTTTGGGTAAATGGGGGAAAGAAACTATTTCTTGCTCAATGGGGCCCTTGGCAAAGCAGACAGGCTTTGAGGCTCCCCATCAGATTATTCTGGGCCAATGTGGCTGAATCCAAACGAGAGCCCCTCAGAACACCTGGAAACCTCTAATAAATGAGGCTCCCTGCCCCCCCTTCTCTCCGCCAAACCTCTCAAGAGCTCCTTTAGGCTTTTGTGGTCTCTCCTGGTTCTGGCCTGAACTCTTAATGCAGCCCAGAGTTCCATCAGATACTCCCACCCTTACCTATCAAGCTCCCCTGCGTCCAAGAAGGGCGATGTCAAACCGCAATATGAAATATGTACATATTTTAAAGCTCACATGGGTACGTGAGCGCAGGATGAGGGCAAGCGCTGGATACTGAAGGAGTGAGCAAATAACTGGTTTGTACGTTGGCAGCACGTTCTTACAAGAGGCAACTTACCAGCCGGGTATTCACCACAGGAAACAGCAGAGCTAGAAGCGCTCCATTCAGCATGTGCATCTGGAGCCTGGAGGGGGAGAAAAGGAAAAAGAAAAAAAAAAAAAAAGATAAAGTCCAGGTCACACTCAGACTCTGTTGCACGGGCAGGCAAAAATGTGTCAAGTCATGCCCTGCCCTACGGGAGGCCACGTAAACAAGTGGCTCTCTGTGTAAAATGGCACTGGAGTTGGCACGCGCGCAGAGTCCATTTAAAGCAGCATATTCCGCACTAATGAAATGTTCTGACCGCTGCCTCAAAAATCCCCCAGATGCTCCCTGAACACACTTTGGCTATGACACTTGATTACATAATGAGCTCCGTGCTCCCTAAACGTCCAGTCGGTCCCCATCAGCAGCGTCGGCCGCCACAGCTCAGGCAACAGTTGAAAAGAGGGGCTCCGCCAAGCGAGTGCCCTGTGATTAGAGCACTGGGGTACCTGTTTCGTGTGACATGGCTGTTTATTTACACACCCATGTCCGATCCTTTCGCCCAAATAGCGGCCTAGGCGTGAAAAGGCGAGTCAAACCAGCCAGCCGACTGCAGTGTTTTGTCAACTGCGTTCCCCGACTTTCTTAGAAAAGTCTTCAGGCTTGCTTTGATCGATTTTACAGATTGGATTTTGTGACTTAAAGGCAAAACAAAAAAGGAAAAGGGCGGGGGGAGGAAGGAGAAGAAGAAAACCACTGGTCTCCAGCATCGGGTAATAATCATTTCCTAATACCAGACTTGTTGAAGCATATGCTAGAAACCCTTTGTAAGTCAAGAACAACCAGGTCAGGAACCAACTCTGCCTGAGAGAGTGCTGAGGGTGGACTTCAGCAGCTTCTTTCATCATTCGAGGCAAATGGTCCTTTACAACTGAGGGAGAAGAAAAGAATGACACACGGACTTCCTCGTGAAGAAAAGCAGATTTGATGGGTCAGGTACAACCAGTGCTGAGTCGACTCTCTCTCTCTCTCTCTCTCTCTCTCTCTCTCACGCACACACTCACACACATTCACACAGCACCCCTGAGATACCAGGATTTTTCCCATGCTCGAAAGGGGAAAGCAGCCCATACTTTTTGTTTTTGTTTTTTTTAAGATTTTATTTACTTATTTGAGAGAAAGAGAGAGGGAGAGAGAGTGTGCACGCACAAGCAGTGGGGAGGGGCAGAGGGAGAGGGAGAAGCAGACTCGCCACCGGAAGCCCAGTGCGGAACTCAATCCCAGGACCCTGGGATCATGACCTGAAGCCAAGGCAGACACTTAACCAACCGAGCTACCCAGGCGCCCTTTGAAGGCCCTCAAGAACTCTAGGTATTCTCTCAAAGCTCAGAGATGTGTGCCTAAGACGGAGAGACATTACAAGGAGACCCATGAGAACAGCACAGAAGCCCCAAGGATGGTTTTCACTTCCCGCAGTCTGTTTATTACTGTTGCTCGTTTCTACCAATGCCACAAGGATGATGATAACGTGCACTTAACATAATCTGGGCAAGTTATCTAATTAACTGCTTTACATAAATTCTCTCGCTTAATTTTTACAGCAATCTTCTGAGACAGGTACAATTACTTTTCCCATTTGTTGACGAGGAAACCAAGTTCATTCAGAGAAGCAAAGTGGCCTGGTTCATGTCACACATAAGATAGAAGAGCCAAGATTCAAGCCCAGGTTTATCTAACTTGAGACCCCAAACTCTTATATCCCTCTCGCTGCTTGATACCAGAGCCCCACCCCCACCCCCGCCACCCTCCCTCACAAATGTGACCTCAGGTGGAGAGTCAGAGAGGCTCCTGTTTCCTCCCTTTGGGTTTCAGGGGTCTTTCTACCATCTTATCCATCCCCTGGCCTAGGCGTAATACACTTTCAGGGGGGTGACCAAGGGGAGAATGCTCTGAGGCCACGCCAAGCAATCACGGTCCTCCAGCACCAATGTGATGTCACTCCGGCCTCCCAGGGCTGGCCAGGTTACCATGCTTTTACAACAGGGTCATTCCAGCGGGCACTCTGTGCTCTGAGAACTGATTGCTGAAGACTCTTCACTCAAGCCTCAAGTGCCTAGAGCAGGGGTCATTAATGGCCATTCCAGGCCCGGCCTAACTCTATCCCTGGGCCTGCCTAAGGGAGGCCCTGGGCATAAACAGTCTTGTTTAGCCACAGCCTAAACATTCACCCTGGGAGAGGGAAACATCACATTAATAGTCCAGGTAAAGCTGGACTCCAGTGCCAGGCTTTGCCACTGGCCCTAAAAGAATGCTGGCATTTATACAAAGCCAATTAGCTCTCTGGGCGCCAAAAGTTAAATCGTGAGGATGATGGAATTGATCCCAAGGGCCCATGAAAGGTCAGAAATAGAGAAGATAAAACCAATGTCAAGATTCAAAACAACGAAGAAATTCCCACATAAAGACAAGCCTGTTCTGGGTCCTCAAAATTCAGTTCTACAAGCTACATATATGCCAAAGCGTGGATTATCCCTAATATATAAAAAGGTCTTACACATCAATAATCACAAAAGCATTTAAACATGTATAGAGCATTTCTACATGCCAATCACTGGGTTAAGTAGTCAAATGCCTCATCTGATTTATCCCTCAGTTTTTATTATAATCTTTATCATCTTCTTTAATTTCACAGTTGAGAACATCAAAACACCGAGTGACTACATGACTTGCCACAAATCACAGAGCTAGGAAGAGTCGGAGGGAGAAGTCACACTCAGGTCTCGCCAAGTTTTGAGATCGTGTGTGTATGAGAGAGGAGAGAGAGAGTCAGTTAGACTGTAGGCCAGGTAGGAAAAGATTCTGGGCTGCCCATTGGGAGAGAGGGCCATGCCTAAGGGCAACAGAACCCCCTGGGTGTTTTGTGGCAAAGCTATCCCCCAATTATATACCTGCACTGCCCTCTATAGACCCTGAGCACAGCCCAACAGGTAAGTGACTGGCCATATGAAAGCCAAAGGCTTTTGTTTTCACTTTATATCCACCTCCAGCCTACCGCTCAGATTTCTATTGTGTATGGGAAATGGATAATGAGCCCCTAGAAAGTCCTGTGAGAGTTCCCTCATCCGTACAACGGGAACAACAGTACCCAATTTGTAGGATTGTTATATGGAGTTAATATGTATAAAGTGCTTAGAAGAGCACATGGTATATAGTAAGACTCACATATGTGTTTCATAAACAAATGGTGAAGAGTTCGCCTAAAGCTTCAAGATGCAAAGGGCGGGGAGGGGGAGAAAGGAAATCATGTGAGAGAGTTGAACGGTGAAACAAATTCGAAGTAAGGAAAGGAGTTCCATAGAGAGCAAAAGGACAAGACTGAAGGTCAGAACTGAGCAGCACAACTTGGGAGATGGACTCCTGCTCAGTTAGTCATACTTATAAATCTCCTTGACAGCTCAAAGCCTTGGCCATTACTATGGTCACAAATATTTTGTCAGCTTTTTTTGTTTTTGTGTAGGAGACCAAGCTGAATTAGCTTAGTTGGTAAGAAACTGGTGCAATATGGCAAATGTCACGGGTTTAATTCTCTTCCGGGTCAGTTCATGCCATTAAATTGAGTTCCACAAACATAAATCAATCCATTACTATGTGTCTAACATGGTTCCAGGTGCTGTAGGGAAAAGGTGATCAGTATAAGACATAGTATCTGCCCTCAAGAAAATAACATCTTACTGACAAGGCAAGAAATGAAATAATGAAAGGAAATGTAGTATAATGGTGAAGAATTCAGGGTTTGGCACAAACCTACACTCAAATTCCAGATCTACCACATTGTGGCTGAGTGACTCTGGACAAGTGACTTAAAATACGTGTGTCAGTTTCCTTAATCATAAAATGGGGCTAGTAACAGTACCTCGCTGAAAAGTTTGTTGAGAGAATTTAATGAGACCATGTAAACTGATCAACATAATGCTTAGGACATAGTAAGCACTCAATACATGGCAGCTACTATTATTCTCAATAAAGCAATGTAAATGAATATCACATTACTATTCATAACAACAAATGAAGCTACGAAAAATCTTCGTGAGATGACTTATATTTCAATTTAATGCACTTGATTACAACCAAGAACCTAAAAGTATGGAACAGATGGCAAGTTCTATAAGTGACTGGAAAGGCAGATTTAGAGAGGAATTCTCAAAGGGAATTATAAAATACTTTGAACTGGACAAAAATAAAAATACAACATATCAAAATGTGTCAGATGCTTATAACATACAAAATTTAGATATTAGAAAAAAAAAAAGAATCATCTCAACTCAGTCATCCAAGCTTCTGCCATAAAAATCCAGAAAACAAGAGCAAGATAAACCAAAAGCAAGCAGAAGGAATGAAACAATAATAGGAGCAATAATCATTAGAAGTAAAAACAAAAACAGAGAAAAATCAATGAAACTGAAAGCTTGCCTTTGAAAAAGTCAATACCACTGATAAACTTCCAGGAAGAATGACATGGACAAAAAGAGAGAAAACAGGACTTACCAACATCAGGAAGGAAAGCAGGGATATCACTACAGAGCACCCCCCCCACGCCCCCCAGGAACTAAAAGATAATAAGGAGAAACTAGTAACAATTCTATGCACAGAAATTTGACAACTTAGATAAAATGGAGAATTTCCCCTAAAACCACGAATTGCCAAAACTCCCCCAAGATGAAACTGATAACCTGAACAGTCCTATTAAAGAAATATAAAACAGACTATTATTCAGCCATAAAAAAGGAAATCTTGCCATCTGCAACAACATCGATGGCCCTTGAGAAATTACGCTAAGGGGAATAAGTCAGATGGAGAAAGACAAATGCCATACAATTTCGCTTATATGTGGAATATAAAAAACAAAAACAAACAAACAAAAACAGAGCTCACAGATACAGAGAACAGATTGGTGGTCACCAGAAGTGGAGAGTCAGGGTAGGCGAAATGGGTGAAGGTGGTCAAAAGGCACAAACTTCCAGTTATACAATAAGTAAGTGATGGGGGTGTAACATACAGCATGGTCACTATCGTTAATAATACTGTATTGTATATTTGAAA